CCTTTAAATCATATGTAACAGCTAAATACGGAGCTGAAATCTACAAAAAAACTGAACAGTTAAAGTTATTAAAAAAATCTGTTGCTAAATCGAAAAATCAATACATCTTTTTACAAAAATGTGTAAAACATAAAATTATTCCGAAATCATTGCGAATTAACTCTCCAATAAAAAATAGAAGAGCAATAGGTATTATTTATCGTTTTAGATTTGAACTTTTAGTCAGCATAAAGAACGATTCTAGGAAACGATTCTTTAACCTTATGAATGACGTAAAAAATCTTCAACGTTCGCTTAAATGTCACCTAGACGAAAAAGACTACATTAAATTAGAACAAATCACTGAAAAAGCTCGGGAGAATATGTTTATAAAGTCAAAAGAACGATTAGTGAAAAAATTTCTAATATTGCAAAATGAACGTGAAAATAAAAACGATAATGCCAAAAAAACAACAAATTATAAAAAGAATGCTGTCTTAAACTTATGCGATACCGACATTCCAGTAAGTCATAATAATTTTCTAAACCTTGGTCCACACTTTGTACCATCTTTAAAGTCGATACCATATATGGATATTATTACAGCCACGGAATCCTCTGCTTTAAAATTAGAATACAACAATAAAATTGAAAATGCCCAAGACCTAAGGAAAAATGTTTTAAGAGAACTAAAAACCGGAAAAAAATTAAATAATAATCTTACAAAAGAACAATGGAAAGCTTATAGAGAAATAAAAGAGGAAAAAAACGTTGACATATATCCATTCGACAAAGGGACAGGTTTTGTACGAATCGAACATTCAAAAGCCTTGGAAAAAATTCGCGAACAAATAGGCCCAACAAAAATAGTAAGTGAAGACCCTACTGCAAATTACGCGGCTAAAATTCGTAGATATCTTTCAAAACTAAATAAAAGAAACTGTTTTTCAAAAGAGGAATACGAAAAAATATATCCTAGTGATCCCATCCCGCCTCGTATGTATGGTGTAATCAAAGCCCACAAACCTGAAAAATTCTATCCTATGAGAATAATTATCTCCACAATCGGCACAGCAAACTACGGAATATCTGAGTTCTTAGTTAAGATAATACAACCAGTTTTGAATGAAAACTTGACAAGATTAAAAAATTCCTTTGACTTTATTAAAAAAGCTGAATCTTGGAAAATTGACAATGATGAAGTTCAGGTATCTTTTGATGTCGTAAATCTGTATCCGTCGGTTCCTTTAAAAGAAGCCACCCTTGTACTTATAGAAAAATTAAATAATAATACAACATATAAAAAATTAACAAGACTAAGTATACCTGAAATAAAACAACTCATAGAACTTTGTTTATTTCAATGTTATTTTCATTGGAACAATGAAATTCATATAATGGAAAACTCAGGTCCAATTGGACTTTCGTTCATGGTCGTTCTTGCAGAATCATTTCTACAATTCCATGAAAACAATGCAATTAAAGTTGCACTAAATTTCAACCCTGCACTTAACCTCAAATCGTTCTTAAGATATGTCGATGATAGTCACGCAAGGTTTCCAGATCTCAACCAAGCAAAACATTTCCAATACATTTTAAATCAACAACATCCTTCCATCCAGTATACAATTGAAGTTGAAAACGAGTTAGGAACACTAAATTATCTGGATATACAAATTATGAATAAAAAAACAGGAAAGTATGAATACGCAGTATATCGTAAAGATGCTATCACTAACATTCAAATTAAGCCACACTCAAATCATGATCCAAATATCTTGAACTCTATTTTTAAAGGATTTCTCCACCGAGCTTACTCAATCTGTAGTAAGTCTTACTTGCAAAATGAAATAAATTTTCTAATCGACGTGTTTATTGAAAATGGTTACGATAAAACTCAAATGATGAATATTGCGCATCAGTTTCAACACAAAAGACAAAATAAAATTACAATTCCATCTGAAATCAATAATTATCCTGTAGTTTCCTTACCATGGGTACCCGGTCTCTCACCAAAACTTAGGAAAATATTCCGAAAAGCTGGTTACAGAGCGGTATTCAAATCAAACCCAAACTTAAGATCCCTGTTAACATCAAAAAATAAATCAAAACTACCTAATAACAGTCAACCGGGAACATATAATCAAATGCAACTGTTCAAAAGTGTATGTAGGCGAAACAAAAATGAAAGTAAACACACGAATGCATCAACACCAAAAAAGCATTGATGAAAATAAGCAGCATCAATCCGCATTAGCTCTGCATAAAACATTTTGCAAAAAAGAAATTATTTGGGAACAAACAAAAACATTGAAAGTAGAAAATAAGAAATTTGAAAGAAAAGTTAGGGAAGCCCTAGAAATACAAAAAAACATGTGTTCTGCAAAAAATGGCGGGATTAATCTCGATGAGGGTCAATACGTAAAAACTAAGTTTTGGACGCCATTTTTTAAATTTCAGCAAAAAAGAAGCCATTCAACCGCTGACGTCAATAGCAACGTTTTAATTTAAATTATAACGATTTTATTAATTACTGTAACATTTAACAAGCTGAAGAAGCTGGTATCTAAAATCTAGCGAAAATTTCTATAATAATAAAAAATTATAAGTGTTGAGAGAAATCGTATTTTTGATGTTTTAAAATAATATATAAATATACTCTCACACAAGATGTTATCCTTTAAATCATATATATATATATATATATATATATACATATATATATATATATATATATATATATATATATATATATATATATATATATATATATGTGTGTGTGTATATATATATATATATATATATATATATATATATATATATATATATATATATTATATATATATATATATACACACATATATATATATATATATATATACATACATATATATGTATATATATATATATACACATATATATGTATATATATATATATATATATATATATATACACACACATATATATATATATATATATATATACATATATATGTATATATATATATATATACACATATATATGTATATATATATATATATATATATATATATATATATATATATATATATACATAAAGTATGTATATATATATACAATGTCTTCCACCCGCAACTATAATTACAAAAATTTTCCCAATAAAGTTTTTCCCAATAAATTTGCGCCCTTTAAATCTATCACAATCATTCTCATATTTGATAGTATCAATATTAATAACTATTTGCAATGTTTAGAGCCTGTAACAAGAAAAAAAAAATTTATGACCCACCCTAATATATATATATATATATATACATATATATATATATATATATATATATATATATATATATATATATATATATATATATATATAAAGACATTAAAGGCATTCTCAAATTATTTATTAAATGAAACTAAATTCATGATGCAGATAATCATCAACAAGAAAAGTTAAATGTGGTACTAGTTACATGCTAATACCATGTTTAACTTGTTTCACTGTGCTATGGCTTTGTTTTTCTAAATTTAGTTTTGAAGCTATAGGATTGAGAGAAGATATTTAAAAATAATATTAATAATTAGATAATAATTAGATAATAACTCCCTTGACCCCTTTTGAGGTGCATAAAGTAAAAAAAAAGCATTACATAAAAATATGGATCTCATCTTTTTGAGGGTAGCTGAGTTTTAAATTTTTTTTCAGAAGTTGCTCTTGTTTGCGACATTTGACCCAAAAGATATTTTATGTAATAACATTACAGCATGCAATATAATGTACAGCATGAAACAGATGCAGCAGTAATAATTAAATCAATATTTAATAAATTTTTCAATGTTCAAATGTTTCAAGAATTAGAAACCTATAAATTATTAACACTTCCTTTTATGATGAAAACCAAAGTAAATTTTTTTTTACAGATCTTAGACAAATTACTAACACACAAAAAAAAACACTAAAAATAGAGGGAGTAAGTTTAATGAAAATTAATGAGTCAAACAAATGAAAATGAATGAATATAGCAATAAAGATTTGAAGGTACCCCTTTTAAATCTATAACTAAATATAACCAAGTCCATAAATACAGGGTGGCCACAGCTCCTCTAAAATCCCTCAAATCCCCCAAAGTCCTTTTTCTTTCAAAATTCTCTAAAATTTTCTGTTATTCTTTAAAAAGTTAAAAATGTTAAATTTTTTTTGTTTATTATTTATTGGTTTGTTTAAAATTGATCTACCCAATTGCATTTGTTGTTTTTAAAACTTGAGTTGATAAATTGTTTTTTAATTTTTTTCTTTATTTTCCAGCATTCATTTATAGTGTTTTTAATCTTTTATAATCCATCATCTTTCATGCTGCTTCATCTCATCATATTTTATTTCATCTTAGCTTTTATACTTCTTTCACTTATCATCTTTCATATACCCACATTTTTCATCCTTTTTTCACTTTAGTTTATTTCCAAACAAATTTTCTTAATATTAAAAAGGAAACCTTTTTTTTTTTTTTTTTTCTAAATTCTTTTTGCTCTAGTTATGTTTTATTATATTCTAGTTATGTTATTTTTTCTCAATATCTTTTTGTTCTCTTGATATCCATTTTATTTTTAATACTTTTTTGTTACTTTTGTAATTTTTATATACTTTTTGTGCTTTTTTTCCCTGCAATACAATGAAACTATGTAGAGTGTAAACTAGAAAATGAAAATTATTAAAGTATTATTATGATTATATGATATTATAGACAATGTGTTTGGAAGAGTATTATATTGATTAGTGAAATATTTTTTGGTTAATGGGTACTTGATAAAAGTAAATATTTAAAATTTTTGTTTTCATTTTCATGTCTTTTATTTCCAATCCGACCCCGCCCCATCATCCTCGCCTTCTATTTAACTGTCACAAATACTTGACTTCTCTTCTTTCTTTAAATCTGTGTCACAAATATATTCTTCTCTTAGTTGTTTATACCAAACCTGGGGATTTTAACATGCTGCTGGCAATGATAATAAAGTGATTATCTTTATAGATTGTTTTGTTTAGGCGCATCTGTAAAGTAATAAGCGTTTGGATTGATCAGTATCCTCAAGATTTTGATGATCCTCCCTCTTACACGGTATTAAATAAAATAGTTTTGTTTACAAGCCTGCATATTGATCTTTTAACTTGTATAAAAGAAGTTCACAATAAATGCTGCACAAGGTTGAACAACTTTGCTACCAGTCCAGTTGATGAACGTATGACTTTTTACTTTTTTTGATGTTAGTTTAAAAAATATTGTAATTTATTATATATATATATATATATATATATATATATATATATATATATATATATATATATATATATATATATATATATATATATATATATATATATATATATATATATATATATATATATATATATATATATATATTATGTTAGTGTAGTCTACAAATAGAATGCTCAATGTTCTTAAAGAACAGAGCAATAATAATTTAGTAAAAATACTTATCTAATTTTTGTGCTCTTCAACAGCATGTTTCACCATCAGTAGGTTCATCAGGAAGTTCCTTCCTGATGGACGGAATTCGGAGGACGTGGAGTCCTCCGAATGTGGCCGAAATCTCAATGCTTGAAAGAGTTCAACGTAGGGCCACAAAAATACCATACTCAAACCGAATGCTAAGTTATGAGAAACAGCTAGTTAAAATGGATTTAATAAATTTGAATCTCTGAAGAAAAGGAGGAGACCTTATTCATTTATATAAGATATTAAACAATCTAGAATTTGTCAATCTTAATGTCAAACCAGTCTATAAGTCAAGCATTAAATTAGATGGCCCATGTTCTTCCATTAGAGGTCTCAAACATAAAATTAGAATGCAGTGTTTTACTCCTCGCGAAATAAATGACTTTCATGCATCGGTTAGCTCCAGAATCCATTTTTTCACAAACAGAGTTTGCCAAATTTGGAACAAACTTCCGGAAAAAGTTGTAGATTCCGAGAATTTGAATAGTTTTAAAACAAGTTTAGACGAATGGCTTAAGAAAAATAAGAAAATATTAATTTAAAAGAAAAAGAAAAAAAAAAAGTACTGGGCTGCTATAGCTGAACGTTACAACGTCTCAGCTTGTGGATAAGATCCACGCAGTTTACCACTAACTAACTAACTATATATTTATATATATATATATATATATATATATATATATATATATATATATATATATATATATATATATATATATATATATATATATATATATATATATATATATGTATATATATATATATATATCCTTATAGTGTAGTCGAAACAGTCTTTTAATGTAAAAAAGTCTCTTTCGACTACAATTTTAATTACCTCGTCTCTTAAGCTGTATTTGATTATCGTCGAAATGTCAACGCAATTAAATTAATGCGGAAGTACATTAAACTTTATTGTTTTTTAAAAAATTTTTAAAAAACTGCAATAATAACAACTAGAAAGTTTTTTTTAATTAGTGTTGTTTTTTTTTAATTTACTAAAAAACATTTTTAAAACATGCGTAAATGTTGCTACATTGACTATCTTATAGCCTGCTGCACAAGGAAGTGTTTCTACATCGACTATCTTATAGACTGACTCGCAACGGAGTGCTGCTACATCGACTGACAAATAGCCTTACTCGCAAGGGAGTGCTGCTACATCGACTGACAAATAGCCTGACTCGCAAGGGAGTGCTGCTACAACGACTGACAAATAGCCTGACTCGCTAGGGAGTGCTGCTACATCAACTGAGGGTTTGGTTTGGGCAGGCAGTCTATCATTAAAAAAAAAAAAAAAAAATTAATTTTTTTGAACTTTTTCTGGTCTGGTTTATTAACGCGCTCTTTAAAACTACAGTTTATGGGAAGGTGCAATTAGAACCATATCATCAGTGTAAGCCAACACATTCATGAAGATGCCACATATATCCAATACTCAGGTTCGAGGTTGTTAAAATCAAATTGTGTATGTAAAAGTTAAATAGAAGTGGCAACAATATACTACCTTGATAAACCCAATTTCCAACATATATATATATATATATATATATATATATATATATATATATATATATATATATATATATATATATATATATATATATATATATATATATATATATATATATTAAGTCTTTCCAGGAAAGGCATGCGGTTTTTTGTCTTGTATGAACACACATGAGTATTTTATTTTAGACAACTTGGTCACAGACGTTTGCAAGTTTTTTATATGCGTTGCTGACAAAAGTATTAAAAACAAAATAACAAAATAACAAAATATGAATTTAAAATAAACTTAAATAGAAAATAATAATAACAACAATTTAAATAATTTGTGTACTGTTTTTATTTTTTTTTCTTCATAGTGGTTATTATTTTCGGCAACATAATTGGGTAAGTCAAAGCAAAAAAAAAAAAGTTTTAATCATTAAAAAGTATGATTTTCCTATATTTGGTTTTTTTTTAAACGGGTAAAGCCAAAATATAAATTGTCATCTGTTTGTAAAATACGTTTGTATAATTTTAATCTAACAAGTATATATCAAGGAGTGAATTAAGCAATCGCGATTTGCAAACCCTGGAAAAATATCTGATCTTCAAAATTTTAGTTTATGCATAGCTGTGTAATGCAAGGAGCAATTTATTATAATTTTGTTATCGAGAAAAATATAAAAACAAAACAAACAATAAACTTATGACTATAAAAGTAATAACACTCTCGTCACTAACTGCATTATAATAGTAATAAAACTATAATAGTGTTATTACTTTTATAAAGCACTTATTACTTTTAAAGTTAATTCTTTCTACAAACAACATTATTGATTCCAAACATTTAATAAAGTAGAAAAGCATCTAGAAAAAATAAAGCGAAAATTTTTACAAATCACTTAAACAACTTTATAAAAACTCACTTAATAAAAAGTTAAGCATTATGAAAAATGTCACTAATAGTCCTTATAAAGGCGCATTTATTTTTAAAATCAACCAATAAAAAATTTTTATTGGTTGATTTGAAAATTAACGCGTGTTTTTACGTATCGTTACTAACGTTTTTAATAATGCTAAACGTTTTATACAAGTTACGTTTACATTTTTATGTTACTTAAGTTTTAAATATTATTTGGATATCCACTATTTTTTTCTAGATGCTTTTCTACTTCAATTAAAATTTGGGAGAACTTATCTTATTTGAATAAAGAATGAATTATAAAAGTTATAAGTGCATTATAAAAGGAATAACACTATTACAGTGTTATTTCTTTTAGAATCCAGTTAGTCACTAGAGTGTTATTACTTTTGTAATCGTGATTTTATTGTTTTCTTTTTTATAAATTTTTCATTAACAAATTAAAGTTGATTTGCCCCTTTTTAGTTTAAAATTTTAGTTTAAACAAAGAACATGTTTTTGTATAAACTAAAATTTTGATTACCAGATATTTTTTCAGACTTTATATATATATATATATATATATATATATATATATATATATATATATATATATATATATATATATATATATATATATATATATATATATATATATATATATATATATATATATATATATATAAATAAAAAGAAATACTATTGCGAGGTCATACAAAACGAAAAACCATACGCCTTTCCTGGGAAGGCTTATATATGTATATATATATATATATATATATATATATATATATATATATATATATATATATATATATATATATATATATATATATATATATATATATATATAAGCCTTCCCAGGAAAGTCGTGCGGTTTTTCGTTTTGTATGACCTCGCAATAGTATTTCTTTTTAGACAACTTGATCACGGCTGTTTGCAAGTTTTATAGTATTAATCATGGCGGAAAAAGTTTTAAAAGCAAAACTAACAAAATAGGAAATAAAAAGAAATTTAAATAAAAAAAAATAAAGATAAATTAATAATTTAAATAATTTATTAACTGTTTTTATTTTTGTTTCTTTTGAGTGGTTGTTACATTCAGCAACAAAATTAAATAGAGCGAAGTAAAAAAAAAAAGTTCTAAATCTACAATAAAAAGAATGATTTTCCTTTATTTAACTTTTTTTAAAAAGCAAAAAATATAAATTGCAATGTATTTAAAACAGATAATTTTTTACGATGATGATTTTTACTTGGTAGTTGCATTAAACTAATAAGTATTTTTTAAAGTCTGATTTTCAAAAGAAACAAACCAATAATATGCTTTTCAAAGAAACAAACCAATAATATGCTTTACAAAAGTAGTTAACTCATAACAAGCTTGTAACTAAAAGTTATTTTAACTGGAAATTTCAAACAGAATGTGAAAAATGTAATACCATTTTTTTTAATTTTCATTTTATTTATTGCAATATCAAGATAAAACATTTTTTATAAATATGCAAGTTGTTTTTAGCAATTCATTTTAGCAGTTCATTTTACAAAGAAATCTATTTGAATAGTAGAATTTCTAAAATTCTCTTATTCAAATAATCTTGAATATAAAATTTGAAATGTTTAATAAAAAATTAGAAAGAATTTTGCAAATTTTTAATATTTGTGTACAATAATTATAAATTTAGTTAAATGGAAAGTTAACAATAGCATCTTTAAATTAATGACTGATGGTTAAAGTATTATTATACCCCACAATAGTTTAATTGAAAATAGCAAATACTTCAACTAAAAATAAGATAATAAATTGTGATAAATATTTGAATAATCATTAAGTATAAAATTTTATTTTTAGGTTCATTTAAATTCAAGTTTTGTTTCTGCCCATCTATAATTGGTTGCACATGTGAAAATGTTGGAGTGCATAATTTGCAGTTTAAAAACTTTTCAGCCCAGGAGTGTGCTGAACAACTGACTTTAGTTGACTCGGTAAGATATGTTTGTATTTATACATGCACACACACACATATATACACACACACATATATGTATATATATACATATATATATATGTATATATATACATATATATATATATATATATATATATATATATATATATATATATATATATATACATATATATATATATATATATATATATATATATATATATATATATATATATATATATATATATATTATATATATATATATATATTATATATATATATATATATATATATATATATATATATATATATATATATATATATATATATATATATATATATATATATATATATATATATATATATATATATATATATATATATATATATATATATATATATATATATATATATATATATATATATATATATATATATATATATATATATATATATATATATATAGGCTGCAAGCAACCAGTATTAAATTAGGGAGTTACTAGAAAAGAAAGAATAGAGTTAATAAGCAAGGAAGCATTTGATAGAAGACTTGTAAAAAAGTTGTAAGTTTTTGAGCACCAATCATGATCATGAATTTGAATTCAATTTGTAGAAAAGACAAAGAGATGCAACTTTATAATGATGAGAGAAAGGGTCAAACTAGGCAAATAGAGAGGCTCTAACTATGTTAACAATTCAATTTTGAACCTTGTCTAGAAGAGAAGAGCATCATTAGAAGAACTATCCAAAATATGATTACAGTATTCCATACAGGAGCAATTAGAGATTTGTAAAGATAGAGAATAGAATCAGGAGTAAGAAAATGTTGAGCATGAAAAGAAAAGCAACCTTAGCAGATGCTAATTTTGAAATTGATTGTATATATGGTTTCGATGAGAGGTCAGTAGTGAGCAATTTTCCATAAAGATGTAAAGAAGAGGACTAAGTGAGATATATTTATATCAGGTCTTTGTGTAAGAGGCATACGGTCGCACGCCTTATAAAATAACGCGTATAATACTTTCTTTTGAAAACTTGGCCACTGCTCTTTGCAAGTTTTAACAATTAGCGCTTTTAAAAAATGCGCAAAAAAAAACAAAGCAAATGTGAATGCGATTTTTAATTTAATTGGTTCCATAATTACAATTTAACTGCTACAAAGTTTCCTGAGAACTTTGTTGCTACGTAATAAAAGGCAATCATTGAAAAAAATAATAAGATTAAAGTTTTAGGCAAAATGAGTACAGAAGCTATCAAAAAATAAATACAAACCGTTTTATCATAAAAATATAATTTCTAAAAAAAAATTTTTTTATTAAAAAAAAGAATTACAATAATCTTGAAACAATCGCATCTGCCAACTATTTTTTAACTATTCCATTTTTTAACTATTCTCTGAAATTAATTGTTTTTTTATTTTAAATGTGTTTTTTTTTATCAAGGCCTGATAGACGATTTTTTTACACATTGTAGAGAGGTAATAGTTTTTTTTACACAATGTACAGAGGTAACAGTTTTTTTTTACACATTGTAAAGATTTTTTCATGCAGTTTCCTCTAAAAAAAATTGTATTAGGAAAGCCTGGGTGTCAAGCTGCAAAGAACTATAGCATATACTTTATTCTTTGAAAAAAATATATGCTGGAGAATATGAAAAGAAATACCTGAGAAAGAAAAAGTGTTACAAATGATACAAAAATGCTTTAGTTTAGAAAAGATGTTTAAAATTATATACATTGGGTATGAAATACAAATGAATGAATTATATACAAATGGGTAAAAAAAAAAAAAAGGAAGGGGAAGAAACATCTGAACGGAAAAATGATGATGTTAAAACAATTACAATGATGACAGTTTATCATCAGTTTTTTATTGACCTCTTAGTTTAGTATTCTTTTTATAAGATAAAAGTTTTTATTAGAAAATATTATTTTTATCAGGTAAAAAAACAAAGTGTAAAAATTTTAATTAGTTGATAAAATAAATTATAAATTAAATAAATATAATATATAAATATAAAGTTTTACATTTTGTTTTAATTTTTTTCTTTTCTTTTGAGTTTTGATTGCTACTTTTAAAAAATTATTTGCTGACCGACTTTATGAGTCAATTTTTTCTGTGCTGAAGTTACATGGAGTTTTTTTTCTGTGGTGAAGTTATATGTGGTGAAGTTATATGAGGCAACTGAGGATAAAAAAACCTTATTACATCTTTTTTTTTTGTAGGAGCTGTTTTTAAAAGTTAACCCAAGAGAGAGTTTAGGATACTTCTGGTCAAAAAGGGATAAAATACAAGGGTCAAAGCCAACTTCAATAAAATTGACAGTTGATCATTTTAATGCTGTATCTCTAAATGTCATCTCCACTGTGCTTGATTCTATGGATGAAAAATCACATTTGCACAGTACTTTAGCTCGCTCTAAGACTATTACAAAATGGCTAGATATTGCTTTGGTAAGTAAAACATGTTAAGAATTTTACATATGCTTTTTTTTTGTGAAATTGAAATATTCAAATAAATATTTAATTCTACTTTAGGAGTTGCGAGAACTGAAAAATTTTTCTAGTTTAAAAGCAATTTTATCGGGGTTGCAATGTGCACCTATATATAGGCTTACACAGTCATGGGAGTTAGTACCAAAGTAATGTTATTTATTACTATATTTTTTATTAATTGTTTTAGATTCTGTTTTATAATCTGTAAAAATGTGGAAACATTTTAGGGAGTAAGATAAAGTCATTTTAATTTTATTTTTAAAATACTGTCATGAATTAAATAAATTGAATATAAGGGTATTATTGTTCCCAGGCTCAAATCAGCAATTTTTGTAAAAAAAATTTTGATTTGACTTAAGCATGAATATACTTAAATTTTGAATGTTCAAAAAAAGTCTTACGTTAACTTACTGCTGGGTATGTTACAGAGATATAAAGTTTTGCTAGAGTTTTGTACAACTAAAGTGGTTTTGCATGTTTTATTACTATTATTTATTTATTTTGCACTTCAAAATGTGGTTTAAAAACTGCTGCCATTATATGTAGAAAAGGAGGAATTAGAGTTTAGGTAATTAAAAGTCAATTTATAAAAGAATATTTTCTCAAATTAATTGTTTTCTGTGATTTAGATAATTTTAAATAGATTTGCAAAGTAGAAAAAAAGCATTTTGAAAAAAAATCTTTGCTTTATAATTGAAAATGGAGTTTTTGTTCAAATAAAAAATGCAACTTGATGTAAAAATTTATCCACACATATAATGCGGTAGTGGTGTAGTGGTAAAACACTCGCTTCATAAATGAGAGGTTCTGAGTTCGATCCCCACCACGTCCCTGGTAGTACCGCACTCAACTTGTTTCTCCGCGCAGCGGCCTTGTTCGTAATTACTATTAAGTAGCCTCCTCATCTGTAGTGGCCTTCTCGGCCTTGAGGAGGTAAATAACAAAAAAAAAAAAAATCAGTTTACTTTAACTACCCAGTGGCCATGCATCGCCTTAAGGACATTTGTAAGATTCCAACGAGCATCCCTAGGAAAGTGTGTGCCTGAAACTGAAATTTCTATGACAGCTTCAATTATCCAAGTAATACCATTCTAATAATGTTAGAAAGTATATATATATATATATATATATATATATATATATATATATATATATATATATATATATATATATATATATATATATATATATATTTGTGTCTGTGTGTGTGTTTATATATATATATATATATATATATATATATATATATTTGTGTCTGTGTGTGTGTTTATATATATATATATATATATATATATATATATATATATATATATATATATATATATATATGTATATATAAAGAGAGAGAGAGAGAGAGTAAGTGAGAGAGAGATATCCTTTTATATAAATATATATATGCACTGGGGTGGAAATAGGTGCTAACATAGCTGCCCCTTGGACCTTTCTTAAGTTCTGCTAGAGGAGGGCAACCATCCATTGCTTGTTTACTCAGAAAAAATAAACAATGGCTGGTTGCCTTTTAGACAGTTCTCAATTGGTTTCTCAAGTGGTTGAAGGGCACATATACCCATTTACTTCGTGGATTTCAGTCATAATTTATTTTGCACATTTGAAGTTTAAAACATAAATCCAGACAGTCAGTGGCATACTGGCCATAAGGTCCATAAATATATAAATGGTTTGTTTTATAATGGGATGTAGCTTGCAGTAAACTAATTTGTTATAAATAGATCTAAGTTTTATAACATTGCGTTTATAAAAAGAGCTGGTTTTTATGAGCATTGACATTGTAAACTATTATAAACGAAGGTCGAATGTTTAGGAGAACATAGAAAAAATAATTCATGATTTTCGAAATTGTAGAAAAATGAATGGATAATTTTTATCTCCTGACAGTTAATGGCTAAAACATTATTTTGTTATTTATGTAATTATCTATTTATCAAAAATAGATAATTACATAAATAACATTTCATGCAATGCTAAAAACCTAAAAGTTTTGGTTTATATATATAATTTTATATATATATTAAATAAGCTAAACTTATTTTAAATAATAAAATAAGTTTTCAAAAAAAAGTTTTTTATTTACTTTAGAGCATCCATTGCCATCTTTAATGAACTCTCGCAAATTTTTTCAGATGACATGAATAACAAAGCTTCTAGGGATTTATTAATACAGGTGAATTTTTGTTTAAAATTTTTGTTTAAAATTTACTAGAAGTATTTGGTGTTACTCAAAGTATTTTTGTTAATAAAAAACATCTGAAACATAAAGTAAATAGAATTCTTTTAATGGTATGATGTAAAATATATGAAATATTTTATATGTTCATATACAGATTTTGCTAAGCTGCTGTACAAATATTCTGATGTACAATATATTTCTGCATCATAAGTATACAATTAAGCTCTACATTCCATTATGCAATGTATATATACTGCATCAGTAAATAAGTAATAAAGTATATAAGTATGGTGCATCCAGTAAATTAGAACATCAATATGCATTGAGCAACTTAGTGGTATTTGCTAATAGTTTTCTTAGAAATTAAAAATTTACTTAAGAGCTGGGTTACAAACTTAATTGTAAATTAGAGTTTTCTTAAGGTGGTACCCAGCCATTATTTTGGTGAAAAATGAAAAAGAAAATAAAAAATTTGAAAAAATGTTATTTAGACAATTGAACCTTAAAAGAATTCAATAGTAACGGTATTTTTTCCAAAATAATTTTAGAATATCTCTAACACCTTAAGGTATTTTTAATCCCATAGCAAAACCCATAGCAACTGTTAAAAAAATTTTTTTTTAAGTGTTTTCTTAAGTAGTTTTAATTTTAGAATTTTTTTTTTGTCTTTTTTTTTTTTTTAATTAAGTTGTGTAGACTATTTAGTAGAACAAAGTTATAACCTTAACTTTGAAAAAATTCTGAATAATACTAAATAAATGTAGTCAACTGATGTATTTTTCTATTTAATAACAAGTTCATGAATATTAGTTTTCTAACTTGCTAATACTGTCTGCAATAAATAAGCAAAATATAAGTAGCTTGTTACATTTTGAACTCAAATATATTATCCATTTTCTTTAATCCAATGTTTAGCCATTTTTATTTACATATTGCATTGATCTACAATGAACAGAAAAGATGAGCTTATCAAACCCAAATATTAAGCTTCCATCTTTACGATGGTTTTCTTCTTCTGCAGCAGCAATTTTTATTCGTAATCATTTTATTAGTCTCTTTTAAATATACAATTTATTAAGAATCTTTTTTTTATCAGTGCAAGAAACTGATACAAAAGTTATTCTCTCACACTAAGTCCCATTATTTTCCAACACTAAGTCCCATAATTTTCTGACATCAAGTCTCATTATTTTCTGACACTAAGTCTCATAATTTGCTGACACTAAGTCCCATTCTTAATTTACTAAATCTCATATTTCATCTCAGAAGTTCTTTTGCAAATTTTTTAACAATATCATTAATAAGTCTATCATTCCACATAGATCATTCACACATAGATCATATTTTATTACCATTCCTAAAAATAAAGCAGAACTGTTTGCAAAGAACTTTTCCTCTAATTTTTATGATAACATTCTTCCTGTCATCCCAGACAAACAGGTTAATTTATTGTTAAACATTCAAATCACCTCAGTTTTCTTGTTTCAACCAAAATTTCATAATTCCTCTCCAAGAAAATGTTTAACCAAGGTTTTGGTTAAACATTTTTTAGAAATTTTATTTTTAAAAATGTTTCACCAAATCTTATTTTCTTTCTTGCTGGAAAATCAAGGATTTGAAATAAGATTGGTGGATTTATATTTGTAATAGCATTGGTGGATTTGGATTTGAAATAGCATTGGTGGATTTGCATTTGAAATAGCAATAATGGATATTTTAAAACTCTGATGGCATTTCTGGCTGAAACTATTGCCCAATCGTGTTTTTGAGAAAACTTTTAACATCTCATCCTGAGTCTCTAATAAGCTAATAAGCCATAACTATTTAAAAATGCAAATGAATATTTTTTATTACTGTTCTCAAGATCAGCGTGTCTTTATTTAATATTTCCAAAATTTCACACTGACTGCAGTATTGATTTTTAACATCAGTTACGTTCTTTTTAAAATCTGTTAAAACACAGCAGGTACCATAAAAAGAAAGTCAAGTAAAGTCTGCCAAAACTTAAAAAGAAAAAAGAAAAATAATTACAATTTTTAATTACAAAAGTATTATTCACATTTTATTGTTAGTAGAATTAGGGTAATAGAATAACAGAAAATATAAAAAGGCTAGACAATTTAACACGTAATAACACGGGTAAATAACACCACAAATTAATAAGATATTTTATCAACTAAAAAACTTGAACTAAAAAAATTTTATTTATTACAATATTGAACAGTTATGGTTTTTCAGTTATGGTCAGTTATTTATTACAATATTGAACAATTATATCATAAAATAGCAAGCAGCTCGTAAAATATTTTATATACATGTTCATTATCAATTGTGGTATTAAGAAACTGGTAAGAGCTCAGTAATTACATAAGTTTTATTGATGCTCCCTGTACTAATTCTCATTAAACTCTCATCTAGGAGAGAGAAGGTATGAAAGAAAGTGTTTCCAAAGCAGCATATTAAAAAAAAGTAAAAAAGACACAAATAATATTATAATTGGTTTTATTAAGTTAACAGTTAACAAAATTATTTTTCCCTTTATTATGTAAAGTTCCAGCTTCTCTCTAACTGTTGACTAATGATTAATAAAATAAATTTCATATCATTTAATTTGCAAAATTAAAACCATGTTTCAACAGTAAGCAAACTAATCAAGTAATGACAAAGGAAACTAATTAAAAAAAATAAATAAAAATAATTATTGAGTTGATAAAAATTTAAAATCATTTAAATTTAAAACTGTTATTAACTGTTACTATAAATAGTAAAATTCATGCTTAGTATTGTTCTAAAGTGTTTAAAGTAAAATCAAACAAACAGACATTAACACTGCTTGACACTAAATTCTGGTAAGTAAGTTTTCTGCTTGCCAAGCAGCATTTTTTACATTTCAACAACTACTAATTTCATCTTGCCTAGCTCTATCTCTTTCATTTGGACAACAATTATTTTCGCCTATTAGCATTTACACAAATAAATTTTTTGTCTATTATTAGCCATTTCAATTTCACTGTATTCTTTAAACATATTACCAGTAATATTACTATTGTTACAACTAAATAAATGTAAAAGAGTCTTACAAATTGTGATCGTTTCTAATCTAACTTTTAACTTAAGAATAATTGAAATCCATATTTTTTTTGCTATCAAATATTATTCAATTATTGTTATGATTATGGGTTTCGCGGGTTGCTCATTTTCCTACACTTTTGATTGGTTATCATATTTTGAATGAGGTATCTATGACAGCGTTGAGTTTATTTTAGGCTTTTGTTGTTTTGTTGATTAAATCTTTTTTATCTCGGGCTTGTCTATGCTAATAATACCTATTTGGTTTTATTTTTAAAATAAATTTATTAATATTTTTATTTTTCTATTAGAATTTTAATTTATTTTCTTTTCATATTTTCTTTTGGTGGTATGGTAAGTGTTTTATTTAGTTATTTTTATTAACAATATTTATTAACATCAATAAATTATAATCTAAAAGTGTAAAAAATAAAGTGATATCAGTCAGTATATTTTACTCTAAAGTAATAAAAAAATAAAGGAATTCAAGAGTATGTTTATATTAATATTTTCTAAGAGAAAATATTCATATACAGAGAAATATAATATACCTAAATATAGGTACATTTATGTATATAAACTTATTTATCAACAAATTACAGACAGTTTTCCATGTTAAAAACATAAAATATATATCTAATAAAGAACAAATTCAATATTAAACAAAAAAGTATAACAAACTTACTAAAATCAGTACCAGTTCTATTGTCTAAAAATTTCCAATTGCTCTAAAAAATAGCTTTCAGCTCTTTACAGTTGCACTAAACAAAACTTGCTTAGCTAAGTTGCTTTATTCTTAAAAATCTGAAAACAGAAAAGTTAAAAACCTAAAACAAACTTTTTTTTATTTAAATTTATTTAAACTATATTTAAACAAATCAAATTAAATAAAACTCTAGGACTTCCTACATAAGTTGATGGCAAAACTACCACGCATCCTGGTCTAACATGATCATTTCCAAGGTTATTTACATGTTTGTGTAAGGCATCACACTGCTCGCTTCTCAGTTTGTTTAGATTAATTGTCTAACTGAAAGTCTATAATTGTAATACTGAGATAATGTAACATGATTTCTTACCAATGTAGTATGTTCAGGGTTGTGAACGAACTGATTATGTCAACCAACATCACCCCTTGGAAAAAATAGAGAATAAACCATAGGATCATAAGTTGGCAGACATACTTGATATAGTTTTGAGAGGATGACTTCTTGGGTGAATAACAACTTCCCTGGAAGCAGGTGCAGCTCCATCTTCACCAACAAATACAACTGCAACTACATTATGTGAAGGGAGATTATAGTGACATCTATCTTGCCCTTCAAGTAAAGACATTTTTACAACTGAGACTAAGCAACCTTCTATAGCTGCTAGACACTGCTACTTCAGCCATGTTTTTAAATGCAAGAGTAAATGGGTTCTCTTCACTAATAATAGTTTGCAATCGAAAGGATAAATCATTTAAGCAAAGACCATTACCACTTATCGCATTCTAAAATTTACTGCTGCAAGTGGATCATAGATGTATAGTTGACAATACAACATGAAAAACATCTTGATCTGGCCTAAGATTACCTATACGATGAAAAACTTGATCACATATTGTAAAACATGCCCATGATTTAGAATATGTAATCAAGTTTTTCATCATATAGGCATTTCCGTCTGCATAATTTTCTTTAAATCTTGCTGAAATGGTGAAGGTTGCGACAAAACTACCTTTCCATTTTGACAACATAAAAAATGTCAGAAAATTCATCAGGAATTTTCTTAGCACCACAATGCTGACAAATATAATTAATTTCTCCTAAATAATTGTAATCTGGAATAGTATTACTTCTTGCTATACAATGCATTCTTTTGTGCCTAGCAGCATATTTAGCGTTTTGTTGACTATTATATCTTATCTCACCTAAGCCTCTTTCATTTTTGCGACTATTAACTTGCCTATTAACATTTCCATTTTCTAAACTAATATTTGCTTCTAGCCTAATATCATCCATTTAAAATTCACTTTTAATTGAAAGTAGTAACAAAATCTTAAAAGAATCTTAAAGATTGTGATCTTTTCTATACAATTTATTTTTACTACTCTAAATAGCACGCACAAATATTTTTTATAAAAATGACATAAGAAATTGTCATTTAAAATAAATTATACAATAATCTTATGACTTTAAAAAAAATATATCAGCTAAACATATTTGTTAGGAGGTGTTTAAACAAAAAATTAAATTTAGATTGAAAAAATTATTAAAAACCTGCAGTTCTAATGGTAAACATACTGCTAATACAGAAAAATGAAAAAAAAAAGTGTTGTAAACTCCTTTTTGTAAACTTCAATATTATTTCTTTAAAAAAATATTAGTAAACGTTTTTAAAAAATTCACAAAACTTTACAATATTTTGTTCTTCAATACCACACGAATACATGGTAATATATTATAATAAAATTAATATGGTAATTAAAAAAATTAAAATTAATATGGTAATTGAAAATATGGTAAATCTGAAATAAAAAATGTAACGAATAAGTAAATAAAAAAGAAAAACATTATATACAAAAAATGGAAACCAATGTACCTGATAAAGAAAAGCTGTGGTGATTTACCGGAGTAGTAGTTGTTAAATATTTTTATTTCATGTTAGCTTTTAGAAAACAATTTATGCTGGTACATCATGATTCCAAAATATTTATAGCAAAATTATGTAATGAACAGCGCTTAAGACAAAAAATCAAATTGAGATAAAACAAATTGTATATATGGCAAAATAGTGTGTCTTAGCTTTTAGTTTATAAAATAATTTGTTACAAAATAATTTGTCATGGTTTTAAGTTTTTAGTTTTATAAAACAAATTGTATATATGGCAAAATAATTTGTCTTGGGTTTTAGTGATTCATTAAATGCAGTGAGATCCAATAATGAAACTACCTATTTATCATTTTTAACAATAGACACCAACGTGAAGGTAAGCTAAATGTCTAAAAAAAACAACATCACAACAACAATAGAACACGCTATTAGATAATATAACATCTATATAACAGAACTTAAGTAAAATGACATTCATAAGAACATAAGTAACAACATTACGCAAAATGCTATTAAAAGAAATTATTATGTACTTCCAGAATAATTAATAATAAAAGCTAGAAAACACCTAGACCTAAAGCAGTAACGCAGTCACACCTCTGCTAAGTTTAACATATTACCAGATACACATATTTATCAAAGCATATATGCAAACAATTAACATATATAACTTGAATTGTGCAAAACAAAATTTTAAAATGTTATGAAAAAAAGATTCAAAGTAAACAAAATATAAATATATATACAAACAATACTCTTTACCTTTATTTTTTTTTTCCTAAGAACTGTAAATAATATAACAATAATATAATAACATAACAAAATTTAATCTTCGCATACATGTCAGTGTTGGTTCAAAATTTTAATTTATTTTTTTAAATGTCCTAAAAAAGAACAAAAATAGTTAATAGAATCACAGAAATTTCAAAGTAGTAATAACTAATTTTATGGAAGTAGAATTAGCATAACTTTTTTGTTGCAAAAAAAAAAAAATGCATTAAAATAGTTAGGCCTCATCCATACTCCCATTTTCCTTCTAAAAAACAAAATATAAAAAGCTCAATAAAAACAAAACCGTTCAAAAAAATGAAGCTAAAACAAACAAAATGTAAATGATTTAAAAAGTTAAAAAGAGTTTTTTTTTTTTCTACTTTATATCTAATAAAAATGTAATATGTAAATTGATAAATATAAATTGTAATATATGAATTCTATACTTACTTCAAATATCGTATGATCTTAATGATGATTCTTTATCTCGATTCTTTACCTAATATTTTTAATAAATAATAATTAAATTCCATGAGGTAAAAAGTTTTTTTTAATCTTTCACCAATGACCTCGTGATGACCAATGACCTCGTGATGACCAATGACCTCGTGATGACCAATGACCTCGTGATGACCAATGACCTCGTGATGACCAATGACCTCGTGCATTTTGAGAACTTTTAAGAGCTCTTTAAAGTTCAAAAAAGCCTAGTAACTAATTAAAACTACTTTAAAAACAAAAGTGAAACGGCGTTGAACATTGACTCTAGCAATTATATTAAGATTTAAACTTAAATGACAAAGAGCTTTTTTATTTCAATTCATAATTATCTTCAAGTTAAAAAACTGAATTATTATTGAACCTCTTTCTCCTATATAATTTTATATATAAAATATATTACATACAAAATAGTTTCAACAAGTACTAAGATACTGAAAAATAATATGATTTAAAAAAAGATTAAAAAAAAGCTGCAATAACAATATTTTTGGAACAAAAAAACATCAAACAGATAAGTTCATTAGAGTTATAAACACACACGCACAGACGTAAACACACACGCACACACTTATTTTTTTTTTAAATTAAAATATTTACATTTTATAAAAAAATATATATATATATATGTTTGAAACTTAAAATCAATATTATATTGGTTTAATTCAACTTGTTTTTTAAGTAATGTGAGACTTCAATCAAATATGAAATCAATCAACCTAAAATTATTTTTGATTATCACATTTAAAAAATAATGCTCTAAAATAATTACTGCTCTCTTATTTGTACCCCTAATTTTTTAGCATTTCGAAAACTTAAAAAGCATACTTGAAAAACTGTAAATTAAAAAAAGCAAACTGTAAATTATATGGTATGTGAAAAATTATAAATTATGTGATAAGCTTGCTTGAGTAGTTGCCATGGTAGTATTTGTGGAATAGAGAAATGCAATTTTAAGACAATGGGACAGAAGCTCAAACTTGGCAGCTAGAGCAATAACATTTATAATGCAGTTTAACCAAGTCTCTAGAACATTATTTCTAATATAAAATAAAAGTAGTTTGATAATATTGATTCTTAGTGTTGGACAATTTCTTTTTGATTTGATTCTTGCATTGATAAAAAGAGATTTGTTCTCCAGAGAGTTGATCTTGTGGAAAAGATGATAGAAATTATTAGGATTAGAAGTAATATTTAGCAGCTGGACAAGCAAACAATGTGAATATAATGGGATTATACCTCAAAAAGCAATTAAAAGTGTTGGAAAGTAAAAATCTATGCACAAAGTTTAATACTTTGGAATAGGAATTCTGACAGATAGAACAAAAAATAATGCCTTCAGAAATTTGTGCTGAGTATGTGTTTTACATTAAAAAAATATTTATTTGTAAATTTTTTTACTTTATTAAATTTATTTGGTAAATTTGTTGTGTTCCATTATTTCACAACTAGTATTTGTTTCAATGAAATGTTGTGCTCCATTATCACACAGCTAAGTGTTTGATGTTAAAACTTTTAAGTTTTTTATTATAAATATATGAACTACCCGATTAGAATGAGCAGAAAAAGTAAGAATGGAAAATGGTTTTAACTGAAACATTAAGCAATAGTATGATCAAATTAACGCCAGTTTTATGCTTAAAGCTGTTTTGAATGAATTCTAATGCAACTAAAAAATTCCCAATTTACCTTCAATGAATTGCATATGAATTGCAAACAAAATTAATCTAATTCCTACAATAAAAACAATCTAATTCCTGCAATTTACCTTCAATGAATTGCATATGGTATTTCAAACTTAAATTTATATTAACATATTATATGTAAATTAAAAGTTACTGTGATAGTTGCTACTGTTTTAAAGTTCTTTTTAAAAGTATAAACTTGTTTGTTTTTTATGTAATAAAACTTGTATTTAGTGATAAATTATAAAATTTTTTTGAATATATAATGTAAATAATAATAACAACTTTTATTTTTCTTATATTTAGCAACAAAAAATTTCAATTTATCTAGAGTATTTTATTTTCTTTTTTTTTAAATGTCTTTTTAAATATTTTTTAAATATCTTGTCATAATTTAAAAAAAAATTATGACAAAATGCCACAGAATTTATTTTATAATTTTAATGCTTTTTATATCTTAAAACATTCTTTTAACACTAGGAAGGTACTGCAAAATACTCAACAAACTCACTTGGTCGATCAAAATCAAAGCGACAGTCTCTTATAAATATGGTAGGTAGGTTATCCTCTCACTATTCTCTAGATTACTCTTGCTTATTATTATGGTTTCAAGACTTGAAGTGTCTAAATATTGACACCTTCTGGCTTGGTGAATAACCCTCATGAATGGGGCAGCCATCAGTTGCTTTACCAAATAAATTGGCTGATGGTAAGTTGCCAGGCCAGATAAATTCCAGATGTGCTAAGGACATCAGGCACTTATTATGAGCATTGTGATTTGTGTGTTATGATGCTAAAAATATGGTAAGTTGGTCAGATGATGTTTACAAATTGTTTTTTCTTGTGAGAAACATTTCATTTAGGTTTATTGTTTAGGGTATCACACATGGAACTGTACCATATTTAGGCACTTTTTTAACAGATCTTACTATGATAGATACAGCACTACCAGATAAAGTCAAGGTATTTTGATATGATTTTTATTTAAAAAAACTCTTGTTATATTTTTTTAAAATTAAGGTGAGCAGAGCAAATAGGAGCTCTGTTCACTAAATGTTTATGCAAAGTTTTAGTTGATCTAGTTTTTATCAAATAATTTTGTACTTAACTTTTTAACATAGGGAGATTTGATTAACTTTGAAAAAAGGAGAAAGGTATTTTTTTTTATGTTTTATTTGTATACTTTTTTAAATATAAATTTAATATTTACTATAAATATATTTTTTGAATAAAAACTTAATTTGTACTTGATTATTTATTTATTTCTTGATTACAGAAAGAAATATTGTTTTATAAATAAATTTTCAGGAATTTGAAGTTGTTATATTGATAAAACTACTACAGCAATCTGCAAAAAACTACAGCATTCAACCAAATCCAGAGTTCTTCACTTGGTTTAACTCTCTAAAAGCTTATAGTGATAAAGAAAGGTAACTTTTTGCATAGATAACAAATTACTATTAAAGTTGCACTTAAAACGAATTGATTGTGATACATACATTTGTTTTAGCTACGCGATATCACTTGAGGTTGAACCGAAAAATGGAGTAAAGCCTGAAGTTGAACCTGTTGGAAAAGATCATACTATAAGGTATGAAATCATTAAAGTATTGTATGAAATACTTTCTAGAAATTATAATGAATAAAATAGGTTGTTATATATAAATATATATATACATATATATATATATATATATATATATACATATATATATATATATATACATATATATATATACATATATATATATATATATATATATATATATATATATATATATATATGTGTATATATATATATATATATATATATATATATATATATATATATATATATATATATATATATATATATATATATATATATATATATATATATATATATATATATATATAGACGATATGCAAGCGACAATGACATATTTTCATTGAAGCAATCGAGTATTAACACGGCTGAAGATCTTGTTTCGCTATATTCTCTAGAACTATCTAAAAGTACCGTAAGTTATTTCTAATATGATTGTTAGTATAATGTCTTGTTTGAGAATTTTTATGTTTGTAAATGTTATTAGATTGACTTGACTGACGCTGGTATGATATTGAAATCAAAAGTTTCTAAAGATAGATTTAAAGTCGAGAGTTTATCATCTCGAAACATGCTTGATCCAGATGACGCTGTACCTCTTGACGAAACAGCAGTAGTCGGAAAAGTTTATCTTGAAGACACAGTTAATGTTCAATATAAAAGTGTTAAGGTAACTTATTTCAAACATTTGTATTTTTTTGTTTTTTTTGGTTTAAAAAAAAAAAAAAAAAAAAAAGAGTTATTCTTGTTCTACTGCTTACTGATGCGATTGTTGTTTATTAGTAGATTCGTTTGTTTATTTTTACTTTGTTATTTATATCAGATTACTCCGACGTCTCGAGCCTGTGATGTAATAAGCTCTACCCTCAATAAGTTTAAAGTCTCAACCGACGTTTCATGCTATTCGCTCTATCAAATTATAGATAATAAAAGTAAATATTTTTTCCTTTTTTTTTTTAGCTAGTAAAACTAGTTCTGTTTGATTTTATTATCAAGAGGTTGTTTTTTTTTTGTTTTTTTTTTTGCGTTTTCATAGAAAGTTTGCACATACCAATGAATTCCAATATGTATTACGCTATGCACAAAACGCCAGCATTATGTTTCAAAGTATCAAGGAAAAAGTTGAAAACGAGTAAGAAAGCGGAAAAATCATTATCTTTTAACACGTTAGGCAAAAGTGACGTGATTCTACTTAAAGCTTCTTATTCTCAATTATGATGATTCCTACTGTTATTTGCAAGATTGTAAATTTCTTTTGTTTTTTTACATTTTGTTGATATTTTAAAATATATTTTAATCCGGAACTGTGTATTATGAAGAGCTTCTTAGAATTTAATAAGGATAATGTTTTTATTCCTAACTTTTTGCTTATGTCATGTAATATATTTTTTATTGATCCTTCATTTATAATGAACGAGATTTTATTTTTGGACATTGTAGTAAATATTTTTTAGTTTTAAATTATTTTTTTAACTTAACTGAATATATATTTTTTATTTATATTTTTGTTACATTGTTTTTATTGTTTTTTTGTTTTTTTATACTTTCTTTGTATAAATAAATCCATTACATCGTACTTTATTATTTCAATGTTTGGTTTTTGTTATTACCTTGTTTTGTATATAACAAAAAAATTCCTAGAACCTTTTTTTTTTTCAACACGAAAATAGTGACGAGATTTTAATTTATGACTTGTAAACAGATTAGTTTCTTTGCTAGTTGTTTTTTTATATTAAATTTTAGAATTTTTTAGTTCATTTTATTCGAGGTTACACTTAAGTTGGTTGCTTAATTATTGTATCATTTTTGATCCAGTCTTCAATAAAGCGTATTACAGCTAGAGTCAGTTTTAGTTTGGTCATCACTCAACCAAGACGCGAGAACGGGCAAAAGTAATAAGTCAAGGGGGTCAAATTTTTTAAGTTCTATATTAGTAATTTCGGATATATTTAAAAGTACACAAATGATAAAATATTTCGTATCAGTTATGAATATACTAAATATTTCACATCAGTTGTAAGGTGGTTATATGGTAAATTTTTTTTTTTATTTTGATTTCTAACTTATTCTACAAAAGTAGTAGCAAGGCTACTAATAGCTCCAAAAGTAGTAGCAAGTCTAAACAATTCTTAATTTAATTTAAAATGCTGAAATAAAAATTTATTTACCCTTTTTTATGCTGATTTATGCAGAAAAATCAATAAAAAAGAAAACTACATTTTCTCAGCTTTTTTATGACATTACAAGCTAAAAATTACCACACTGATGGATTATAGTGTAATAAGCAAAACCTTACTAGAGATACTGAAAATAATAATTATTTTTAAAATGGCAGCTCTTTTAATTTAAAAAGATATTTTCGTTGCAAAAAACTTTGGTAAAATATAAATATATTCAAATAGAAACAAGTTTAAGGTTAGTTCTAGTAAGGTAATACAGTTCTATCTATAAAGAAACAACCCTGAAAGTTTGAAGTTATTTACATATCTGGTTAAAATGATATGAATGGTTTGTTGTTCGCAGTCAAACAAAAAAATACATTTGAGAAATCAAGTTTCAAAGTATAAAAACAATGTTAATTAAAATTTCCAACACTCATTTTAACTAACAACATTATCAGGTTTACAACTTGGTTTTCAAGTAGTTTAGTACTTATACAACCCAAAAATAAAAACGACTATTTAAAATTTAATTTTTAGATAAATATACCAATAAAAAGTTCGTTTGCTATGGGCTAACTAAGAAAATTTCTTAAACTAATAAAATTAATTTTTTAACTATTTTTTGTTATTAAAACCATATTATGTTATGTATGATTGAAAAGCCAGTTAAATTTTATAAAAGTTAGCTTATGAAATAATTTTTTTTTTTTTTTTAATGGAAGTCGCTAAGTTTTTACTGTATAACCACCTTACTTAGATTAAAGTTTGATATTTATACTATTTCTAAATGTTAATTTCGAAAAAAAGCAGATCCCATCGCTTGTTATTCTCATATAAGCCCAATAAAATAGAATAAAACGTTATAAGATTTAGTAACTGCCATGAAAATAACAAAAGATCTTCGCATTGTGCAAATAATTTTAATTGTGACTCTTCAACTTCACTTAGTCTAGCTGTTAAATTTTATTGGAAGCCGATATAATAAACAAATATTTAATACTTATCTTTTTTGCTATATAATATAAAGTGCATATGTACCTTAGAATTTGTATGAACTATTTATTATTTAAAACTATCAAAATATTATTTTTTTTTAATTATATTCGGTTTAAAATGTAATAGTTGAGCTCTGCTATCATTTTATCTTTCTTTTTTTATTTTACTTTGTTTTTTTTTTTATTTATATATATGTTTATACATATACATTTATTTATTTCATTTTAGCATAATAGCCTTTGTCAATAAAAAATCTTTGTAAATTTTGCAATAAACCAGTGGCTATTATCTATAGGGGAAACCTATGTAATTGTTGCTCTTTTTGGGAAAATGCTAAATGTAACTTTATCAACAAAAGTACTTAGAATCTTTTTTTCAAAGGTTCTGCTGACTGGTGCTGTTGTGACTACGTCACCCAAAATATGCCATTTATGAGGTAGAGACTACATCTCTACCTCATGGTGTTGAGCATATTTACAGTGTCATTAGTTCTCTTATCACTCTTCCAATAATAATAGGCATCTATGAATCAAATCATTGAAGATTCTAATACAAACGATGCAAATATAAATGTTTATACAATTAAGTAATGTTTTGCTGATACTAAAATGATGATGCTCTTTTATATTTGTATTAAAATTTAAATCACAAGGTTCTAAGTGATTCACGTTTAAAGATTCTTAGTGATTCACGTTTAAAGGTTCTCAGTGATTCACGTTTAAAAGTTCTCAGTGATTCACGTTTAAAGGTTCTTAGTGATTCACGTTTATATTTCTAAATACGTGAAATCTATCTACTTTGAAACTGTTAATTAAAAAATTGTCCGTAAAAAGGAATATTGTCAATGATTCTTTATATCAGCGTTCATCAATCAACCCTAAAAAATTCATTTCTATCCCATACATAATAGTTTAGTTCTGAAACAAACATGTTATCTTGCAATTTTAACATGGATTTTAGGGACGGACTCAGGTTTTTAATTTACCCCATCGCTGTGCAAACTAAAAAAAATCATAGGGGAGAGGAGGAAGATGGTAAATAACAATTTTTGCGATTGGAAAGAAAAACGTGTCTTGTGTTAATGCGAACACGATTCAATACTAAGTCAACTAGTCATAAGTTGTTTTTAGCATTTAAACTAATACAATTCTTAAATATACTAAAAATTAAGAAACAAATAAGAACAAAGCATGACTCGATTAACTTTAGCCATGTTCCAGTAAATACGGAAAATATACGTTTTTATGAAGAAAAAAAGAAGAAACAAAGGTTACGCTTCTTTGGCTTCGAATCGGTAAAACAACGCTGTTATGTTTTGAATTACAAAAACAATTTTAAATCTTTTTGTAAAACTTTTATTCATATTTCAAAACGTGCTTTGATGTTAAAATTCAAAAAGTGCTTTATTTTGTACTCTACATATTATGGGTTAACTGAAACTTCGATAATAACAAATTCATGTGATATTTTTAATGTTATTTGACAGACAAATATTAAAAACATTATTAACATCAATTAGTCCCTAAACTCTTTGAACAAAAAGCACTCACCATCCAAAAAATCTAAAAAATTAAACTTAAACCAAAACCTTGGATCACCAGTGGAGTTTTTAAATCAAATGTCCACTTTTTAATAAACTTAAATGGTGTAGAAATAAAATAAGTAACTCACAAAGACTCTAAAAAATCACACAACAAATATTATGATATAAAAAAATACATGAAAAAGGCACTAAAGAATATAAACCTTTCTTACTCTTCCAATAAATCTATTTTGCTAACATTTAATGGCAATAGGATTTCAGTTTAGCAGTATAAAATTTAATAATTTCTGAGTAAATATTAAAAAACATTCAAATAGTATGTGATAAATACAAAAAATGTATTTATCACATACTATTTAAATAACCCAAATAAAAGCTCAAGTGACTAACAATGAGTTATCTAATTTTATAAAAAATAGTTTACAAAATAAAAAAAGTATAGGTCCAAATATCTCACAACCCTTCTCAAACTTTTATATTATCTCCAAGCAAAGGGGTGGATTTATCTCGTAGGGGGGCTTTGGCAGAACCAAGTTTTACAGCCCTTAAATTTTTTGCCAAACATACAAATAAATTATTGAGCGTGTTTTTTCAAAATTTTTATTTAAATTTTATTATTTTTACATTTTTAAGCATTTCTAGGGATACTTACTAATGAGAACATCTTATGGAAACTACATATAGATATATTAAATACCAAAATACCAAAAAAATTTATATTCTTTAAAAAGCTAGTTCTATACTGTCTCCTGATAATTTAAAGTTCCTATACTTTTTGTTCATATAAAGCTACTAGATATACGCTAATATTGCATGGGCGAGTACTCATAAATCCGACTAACCACACCATATCGAAAACAAAAGCAAAACATTGACTCTCGCATGCTGAGCCACTTTTAAAAACATGAAAACACTAAATGTATATCAAATCAATATATTCCAAAATTTTTTGTTTATGCTCAAATATAAACTTTGTTCTCTCTCACTTTCCAAAGAATTTCTTCCAAAATAAAAAAAATAGATACCATACCAGAGGAACGGAAAACTTCAACGTACCTTTTAAAAAAACTAATCTCTCGTGCTTTTCCATTTCGTATCGTGGTCCTTGTCTATATAACAAATTAATATCCAAAAACACTTAACTGGAAAAATCGAATAACTTAAATACTCTGAAAACTTTATTAAAAGATCATTTTAAACACTTAATGAATTTTTATTAACTCAAAAACATTTAAAACTAACTTTGTTCCGAAACCAATATAAACTCTAAAAACTCTAAATAACTCAAAAACAACAACAACAACAACAAAAAAATAATAAATAATAGATTTATTTATCAATACCTTAGGGCTGCCATAAATGTTGGACTACCGACCCCTCCCCTCCCCCCTCCCCCTCCCCTCCTCCTCTAAAATAAGAAAAACAACAACAAAAACACATTCAAATAACCTTCTATTAATAATCATAGCTTTATTATATATATATATATATATATATATTAATAATAATAATAAAAAAAAAAGCGATTGATCATTGGTATTCCAACGGCAAAACTGTCACTCCAATTGGAACTCGTGGAAATATTTATCATGCGCATCTTTAATTTTCCATACTTCACACGGTTCTTTTTTAGTAAAAAATTTCATTTATGCAACTTCCTCATAAATAAAAACCGTAAAAAAATAGCCTTTTCACTGAAATATATAATGGTTTTTGCAACGTTTTCCCATTCAGGTACTTTGTTGAGAAGCATCCACAAAAAAACAACATACTTGGCCGTTGGAACTGACCATTTTGCCAAATAATTAATTCTAAGGGGTCGTCCATAAAGTACGTACGCTTTTTTTGAGTACTCTCTACCTCCCTAAAAGTACCTACGCTTTTAACCTACTAACCCAACATTTTATGATATTTTTTAAAATTTAGTGTCACCATACTTTTATAATTGACCTACTTCCCCCTTATCTCAGAAACGCCATTTGCAGACCTGTTTTTCTCCGAGCGTTTGTACTTTATGGACGATCCCTAACGTTAAAAAAATTCT